AAATTCAAAGTGGAGGATCCATCGGAAGTTTTTCCAATCGAAGTTGAAGATCCGGACCGGCATGCTGTTTCTCCAGAGCTGCACTCAGTCGCCACGACTGGCTGTGGCCCAGCCCAACTGCCTTCCTAAGGGCCTAACCAGCCGCCGACTGCCGAGCTGACTGACGACGGTGACGGTGACGGTGACGCGGCGATAACATGTTTGTGACGGCTCGGCGCCCGCGTGACGAGCTGTTGTGACGCTCGCTGACGGCCGTGATGAGAGTGACGCCTCGGTGACGAGAGTGACGCGTCTGTGACGTTACCTGGGGCACCTTAGCCGGAGCCATCGCTTTGCGTAAATATAGCTGAATTGGTGGAACGGAATAAAAAACATAATGCGTGAGTCATGATACAAAATGCGTCACTTATATAATCGTTTACCTCATCCACGATGTGTAAAACAAATAGTCCCGTCTGATTTTATCATTTGAGGGTCCGGAGGCCTTCTCTTTCGGTTCACACGCTGTTTGTGGTTATGCACTGAGCAGAAGGCGGTGGTTTTGGTACAAAATTTCCGTTATGCTTCCTCTTTTGCCAGTTTGTTCATTGCTAAATATTTTTGCTACCATGGTCTCTGGGTTCTGTCTACCTTTTTACTTGCTGATGCTTTCAGCCATCGACTAGTTTATCGATGCTGTGCTGCACAGCACGGCTGTATTGCGGGTCAGCGGTCCACCAGTATGTTGCCTCGAGCAATAGTGACAGTAATTTATGTCTCGATCGTTACATGGCCTATGGGTTATATCATAAGACAAACGTTAGCGATGAAACGGCGCCTACATCTGATTTCACCCTAGAGGAGCCATAGGCGGCGGAACGGGGAGAGGGGCACCGTGCCCCCTTTGATTTTGGCATTTTAACATAAGCTCTATGGGCGTCGCATGGAAAGAATGGGACCAAAAGTCGGCAGTGCCCCCCCCCCTTCTTAATTGAAGGTGTACCGCCACCACTGAGAGGAGCGATGCGACATTCCCGTCACAAGACAGGACGGTACATATCAGTCAATAATCCATTGTGTCGTGTCGTCACCCATCGGCTTGCTGTCCGTGTTGTTGCCTAACGTTGTGATGTCATATTACACAGTGCATTGTCGTAGCACGGAGCACCACTGACCTTTAAACGGCTCTGATCTAAAGGATGGCATTTTAAAATATAATATAACATTTAATGTGTAACACCTATCACTTCACATTCATTTCTGTCGCGTCCGGTGCTTGTTTTGTCAGTTGATGCTGCTGCGTTATGCTCACAAACTTCACATTCCTTTTCCCAAAGCCAAGTATGGTTAGATGACCTCCTCATTTGAACAGGTATCCTCGTGAGCTTTTTGTTATAAGCTATGCTGACCATGATAAAGTTAGAAGTATGGTCTTCAATATTCCCCTATTCATTCTGCAGATAGATATGGGCCTTTTCCTTGAGATCCTGAGTTTTCTCGTTTGCATCTGTATCGTATTTCATGAAACCTTTCATCCGTGCCCTCCAAATTGTTCTATTCACAAAGGCGAGCCTCTTCTAGTTCCCGCTAGGCGCCATGCCGGCTGTGTAAGTCTGCCAGGGGAGGAGAGGACAGCTAGGGAAAGGTATCAGCTGACTACAGCCCGTCTCTCCGTCTCTGTGTGTTATAGGCACCTACAGCCAGGACGCAGGGTACGGGCTGCCCCACATGCAGACAAGTAAGCCACCGAAGGCACTAACCCACCCACCTTGCCGCTACCCGCATCCTGCCCCTGCCTGCCCGGTCGTAGCGATCAACTAACCCTCAGCGCGCTGCATGACATGTGTATATTGCGTAGCATGGCTTTGTGTAGAAGAGTGCGATGAAATTAGTGGTGCTAATTGGGTTTTGTTTTTGGTATGAGAGCTACAGTCGCTGAAATTAGTGCCAGGATTGTTCACGTTCATTATCGCTCATTTGAGAAACTGAATGAAGCGTATTTGAGGTGAACAAAGGTTCAGCTTTTATCGGCACTATCTGAGACACTTTGAAATGATTACAAAATATGGTTAAATAATTTGTCGCTTCGTTAATGCACGAAGGAACCAATTGACGGTCCCGCTGTTACCCTAGATGGTCGGCTTGCCGAATGCCGGTAGTCCCACATTATCCTTGGCTGGCTTGGACAGTAGACGTACAGCCCTCTGCACACTGCGTGGTAGGTATTCTTTTTTCGACAAAACGGATAATAACTCAAAGATTATGTTATCAGTCGGTCGGAACTCATTGCACATAGATGCGCCATGCTCCACTCCTTCGATTGGGTGTAGCACTGAGCAAAGTTCACGCCTAGTGTGGCCGCAAAATGCAAAAGTTTGTTTTGGGGGCAAATCTAAACTTTTGTGTTTTGTTGCCAAACTGGATGGAAAATGTATACCATGATAAGCCCAATCTAAGGTGCGGAGTCTCGCGCTTCTTGCTGTTACGATTCCCGAGTGACAGAAAGCATAGTTTTCCAGTTATTATTGTTTTTGTCGAAAAAGGAATACCTACCACGCAGTGTGCAGAGGGCTGTACACGAATTCGACACCGATTCTGCATGCTTCCCTTTCGGCAGTTCTCCGCAGACCTCATGGGCAAGTCGAGAGTAGTCGCGAATGTATCCTCGGCATTTTATCCTGGTATGGAAGAAAGCTCATATTGTATGGTAAGAGGATGTTGGGGCTGAGTGTATCCACTGCTCAGTTTCTTCCCGTGCGTTAAAAGTGTCATGGGTCGGTGATAAAGCTTACTTTGTAAAATCTCCAATTGGATCCACTTGATCGAAGTTTACCATATTGCACCTGGATGACTTGACATAACAATGTGACTGACAAACTGGAATCGGATGTTGTTTGCTTGGGTTCAGCTCCTTCTGTTCACTTTGATCTCTCTCTCTCTCTCTCTCTCTCTCTCTCTCTCTCTCTCTCTCTCTCTCTCTCTCTCTCTCTCTCTCTCTCTCTCTCTCTCTCTCTCTCTCTCTCTCTCTCTCCCTCTCTCCCTCTCTCCTCCCCCCTCCCCTCTCCTCCCTCCCTCCACATTGCACCTACAGCACTGTTCAGTGACTAACATCCACCAGTAGGAGTTTGAGCCGCGCCTCCGCTGCAGCCGACACCACTGACAATATCCTTCCGTTTCAGATCTGAACGCCACTTAGCTACTCCCGCTGTGCTGGTGCTGAATCTCCGCTGGTGAAACCGTCCGCAGTAACGCCGTTATCTCCGTGACGCGGTGACGTGAAACCTCGTGACGTGACGCGGTGATGTACCTCGTGACGTGACGCACCCAGAGGTGCGTCACGCTGCCGTCCCATGCGCCTCAAACCAAGGTGGAGCAGGTCGAAGTGTCTTAGAAAAGGAGAGGATGTAATGTTGACTTTTTGCTGATCGTGAATTGATGCTGGACAAATCGTCAAAAGAATTTGAATGTCTGAGTCTTACGATCCTCTGACAAGTGAAATTATCTGATCCTGTTTTCTGTTTGAGCTCTACTATCCTGATCAAACCTAAAAGACGTCTTATGTTTTGTATGTTTCACTCAAACTCCATATAGCTAAACGAGTAGGTATGGCCGGAAAGGTTTACTTTTAACATCATGGTATCTCAATGTCTGAAGGTGACACCTCTCTGGAGTCGGCCAGGGGCCCGCCAGTGTCGGCTACTGCGCGGCAGGGAGGGCCGCGGGTCGGTCGGTCTCCTTGTTTTGCCGGCCATAGTGCCGCGTTGTGATGTCTTTCTGTTGTGATGGGGTTGGGCGGGTCGGTGCGGCGTCCAGTCCGCGCCGGGGACTCACCATCTGGTGTCGAGCGGCGCTCGTGGCGGCCCGGTTCCTGACCGCCTGTTCCCGTCCTGTGCTCGGGTCGCCGCGCTGTACCGTGATAAAGGCCCGCTATCCCCGGCCGCGCCAGGCCGGGCCGTGCTGATAGGTTAGTTCGTGGATAACACGAGATTATACACGCGTGAGCTTTGGCGTATTGTCAATAATGCGCAGGGAAATTGTGTACTGCTGGGGTTTTGTGTCGCATGTTGCCTTATTGGGTGGAAGTTAGCCTTTTATGAAAGCAGGCATCCATAGCGTTGTGCGTGCTATATTTATTACTTCGACATATAACTGCACTAGATGTGAAATGTGGGCAATACCAGACAGCTATCGTATATTGCGGACCTGTCTGATCCGTGTATTGTAACGCGGTGTATGGGCAGACTCGAACGTCGTGCTCGTGTGACGAATGTAACCAGCGCTACGCTCCGGGGACAAAGTGGCTGGCTGCTAACCACTCTGTACACTGCATTAACAGCTGTCGAACCGGCGCACGGCGGCGTGGACGGACGCGGTGCTCTATTCGTGAGGGCGTTGCTCAGTTGCTTCGATGTACCGCTGTTTTACATGAAGACGTTAACCAAAGCCTCGTGCGTGCGTTCTGTGATGAGAATAAATGATGGAAAATCGGTCCCATCTTTGTTTTCGGAAAACGTGTAAATTAATTTCAATCGGTCCTAGGTGTGATTTTATGAGATATCAGATGCAGAATTTCACGCCAAGCTCAAGGCGCAGCTACAGGTTGTCAGTTCTTGCGGTATCGACGACACACATTTCCACCGGCGACACACATTTTCACTGTCTGGATGAACCTTGTTCCCAGACCTTGTGATGTCTATTTTCTAGTTTGTCACCCTCTCCATGCCCGTGAGTGATGTCACGCTCGCACGACCAGTACCGGTTTGCCCAGCTCCTCCCATCCAATCTTCATTAGTCCGTCCGCAAGCTCTGCCCAGGGAATCCGTCTGATCCGCTCCATCAGCCCGGCAATTCCGCCTAGTCAGGTTGTCAGTTCTGACTGGTCATGCGACGTTATTGTCCAGGTAATATGTCGGCGAATGTTGGGGTGGTTTTTCGTCTATTCCTGAACGCTTTATAAGTTATAATCGGTCTGGTTTGCCAGGTCAGCGTAGCCTCCTTGGTCTCAGTTCGTATCGATCTAACGTATCACAGACCGGGGCCGGTCTGTCAGCGTCTGTCGCTCGGGTCTGTCAGCGCGTGTCGGGCTGTTTGCTCCCCGTCCGTCGGTCTGCTGACGGCTCCACCGTGCCCGGCCGAGGAGGAACCTCCGCGCGGCGGCGGCAGTCGCCGAACGGTTCACCATGGAGCGCGGCGTGCTCCGTGCCCTGCTGCCGGCGCTCCTCTCGGCACTGGCCGTCACAGGTGGGTCCCCGCACCGCTGGCGAGTGTAAAGGATGCGAGTGCGACCCCTGGGATTGAGTTACACTGAACGTGGGCGTGCACTTGTGCCTGGCTTCATGAATGGTTGTCAAAATGTACCATTGATTAGTGCATTACGAGAGAGCCATCGGGTAGGTATGTGTCTGGCTGGCACTATGCGACGCCAGGGACGCTTCCTTCCATTCCAATGTTGGCTCTAGCGCTCGTTTGCTCCCGACTGCATTTTGAGTCACTGGCCGCAGAATGCATAGTGTCTGATCTCACTGTTGTCATGGTAGACATCGATGACACGACGTTGCTTTTCTCTACAGGAGCACAGGCGGACAAAGACCTCTGCCTCAGCGAAAAGAAAACGTCGTGCGACGGAGACCTCACTCTCATCGGTGGAACATGCGGTGAGTACAAAATGACTACGTAGATTTCTCTGGGATATAGACACATTTGAGAAAGTTGATTAATGATGCCGTAGAATGGTGATTACTATTCCGTACACAGTTTCAAACAGAAACACAAAGCCGTTTCAACGTGACTGATCAGCTGTTTGAAGGCGCAAGTCGCAACCTCGAGGATCCGAAAAAAATATGAAGAAATAACACTGTAGTTATTCGAAGATAGGTGTCTTGCGGCTGCCACACCACTGTAAACCTGTTCCACAATTCTGATCCACAGTGGAGACCGACTGGGACGATGCCACCACCTGTGTGAAGGACGCTAGCACCATCATTGTCGGACGGTGGTACTTCCCGGCCGAGAAGGACATCTGCAACCTGGACGAATGCTTCTGCTACTGCAATGAACATAACTACTTCTTCACCGTCTTCTTCCCAAGTGCGCCCAGCTCTCCGCGAAGAAGGAACAACGAGTGAGAAACGGGTCACGTAAATTGTGACACTTCCGTTTTGTTCTAATATGGTATGCCTAAATGTCATGAATGTAAATCAGATTTTGCGTGTCGGATTTCCACTAAGTTGATTATTTTCATGTTTCTGACGAGCTTACTATTCGCGATGCACTGCACTGTTACGTTCAAATCAAACAACATTGAGTTGCTCTTTTTTAATCGCACAAGTCTCTGTTGATGGTTGTCATAACCCCTAAATAATTGACCAATTTTACACATTCTCTCTCCTCAGCAACAAGCTCGTCCCCGGCAAAAAGGCCAAGTGTCTGTGCCACAACCACGCGGGCAAGGTGACGGGCGCGGGAAACCCGTATGCCATTCCGCTGGAGCAGTGTGGCGACTCGCCCGAGTACGCCATCATTATCACCAACGGCATCAGCAAGGCGGCCCGCGCCGCCACCTACAGCGCCCACTACGACTGCGCCCGGTTCGGTGAGTTAGCCAGCGTTCGCCAGCGTGGTTCGCTAATGTTACAACAGTGCCAACTACGACTGAGCCAAGTCCGCTGAGTCTGCTTATCTCCGCTAGACACACACGATATAGCGTGCCTGTGTGTATTCCGTCAATATTCGAAAAGATCACTGATTTTTTTCAGATACCTACTGCAGGTCTTATGTGTGCTATTCATAACTCCAAGCATTATCACATGCATCGACCAGTCTCCATCGCAAATAATTACTGAACAGATGAAGCTCCTGTATGAACGCGAGGTAAAGGTTCCTTGTTCCTTGTTCCAGTTCTTTTGCCTATCTTTGTCTAACGGTCCCTACCGCTTCCACGAACACTACAACTCGAAACCTTCCAGTTTCTGTATCTGACATTGTCGCCTGTTCCCACAGTACACCCGGGCGTTCGGTCTCATGCCACCTATATCTGATAGACCTGACTTTACCGTTTCCACAGTGGCTGGCACTCGGTCTCAGGCAATGGCGGCAGGAGCCGGCCTGCCACCTGGACTTGGTGAGCAAAACAGGACAAGGAGTGAATGACATAGCTCTGATATTCGCGAGAGATTTCGCGCATTGAACAGAACAGTCGGCTTTGTGGGGAAAGATTTGATATTAATACAAAGAAGAGAGATTCGTACATTGACTATGATCATAATTGTTCACACTGTCATGCATTACGTTCAGAAATAATGGTTACAATGCTACTGCATTTTCATATTTATTATTCAGCATTCACACTGCCGCTCGCCACTAAAATATCACCGATTTACATATCTCTTTGCATTTTCAGGGCCGACGAAAACAGCAACTGAACGTAAGTGTCGCCAACCCTCACCGCGGTGAGGGCTGCGTACGGTGCACCGTACGCAGGTGTAGGGTAAGAATCTTGGGTGTAGGGTGGTGTAGGTAAACTACATACGATGAAATGTAGCTGTACGAATGTATACGTTGCACTTCAGCAAACAACATTTCGTGATTCGCCTACAACACAACAGCTTCGTAAAACGTCGTCCCCACCTAATCACAGTCCTTTCGCAACTTTGTTATTGCAATATAGCACGTAACAAATAGTCAAAAGCCTTTGCCCGTTGTTCTAGAATGCCTGGAAGGCCAGGTGTGCTACAACGCCGGCACGGCTGTAAACGGACCGGTCGAATCCGCCCGCAAGCAGACTGAATGTTACTGCAACTGCTTCAAACAGGGCTACTTCTTCGGTGCTTGGAATGAGAAAGGGTGAGTTAACTGCTTGCTAAATCATTGAGAGTTGAGGATGCATGGGACCGCTGCTTCACCTGAAAAGTGATGCAAACGTATTTCATCTTATATTGTAAATGCTTTCTTTTTTGTCAGGAATACGGGCTCAACATAAACCTTCTGTGCGTCAGCCTTCGGTTATTGTTAATATATTTTGTGGACATATGACATTTATTGTTAGCAGCCATTGGTTATTGTAAATATATTTTGTGAACATCTTATGACATATTTTATTGATAGTTATCAATCACCCTAGTATGGAAGTCAAGAGGGACCGAGTCGTTCAGGAAGACGAGACCACTCAACAATGACGAGACTCAGAGCTGCGCAAACCTATGGGTAATAAATTGCCGTCATTTTCCAAAGCACCTTGAGCTGCAATGGGAAAACGGTGCCATTGAATGTTTTTATGAAAGGTAACATAACATATTAGTTGACGCAACTGCCTTTGTTTTTTTTTCAGAAATAGATGCCAGTGCTCAAATCGGAAAATTAAACGCGCTGCCACAAAATGCAGAGATGACGGCAGCCAACTGAAAGTCCTGAAGCGAACATCGACTTTGAAGCGGGTTTGCTGTAAGTAGCTGAAATGGCGTGCTCCCATAATCATACTGCAAATGGACCAAAGTGAGCCATTTGCCACCAAAATGATACCCAGAATGGGCCTAGACCCCCCTCCCCGGCCTCCAAGTAACTTCTGCTGCCGGCCAACTATCCTGTCCGACCCTAACAACTTTCCTGCCGCAAACACCTATCCTATCGTATTATGCTTAGGGTATGTCATCCTCACTGAAAACAGCATTAAATAGCGCACGGCTGGATACACAGTGCACCAATTCGGATGGATTTTACGTTACAGACGTAATATTAACACCTCTAATAAACTTTTTGAAAAAGATGGGTTACGACTAGTTTATCGTTATTCATCAAATGACAACATAAAATAAGTCACCATGACAGGTCTCACGTTGTTACGTGCAAACAAAAAGTATGTCGCGTTACTCATATATGCACTGATGCAAAATATGCATATGTTTGACAGGTGAAGCAGTAAACGAAAAACCGCCGACGGAGGCGCCTCCCACCACCGCAGCGCCGACCACAGCCGCTCCCGAAGGTGATTACCGTATATGTCGTCAGTGTGGTGATTACCGTACCTATATATCGTCAGTGGAGTTTAGGTATATGACGAAATATGAAAGAGCATGATCACTTTCATCAGATTAGCCAGTGAAATAGAGACGCGCAAAAATTTTCACGAGATACAATATTAGGGTTACGTATGCAATATTATGGACGAAACTGGAACGGAACATGGAACACCACCTATGTATGAAGGGCAAGACATGACCAATGTTCGCCCCTCTCGGCGACCATCACACTGTTCAGAAGTTACCCTGTTATATATGCTTTCAGGCGGGTCAAGATCATCCCCAGTCGCAGGTGGTCCTCCGCCACTGGGTAAGCATTATCTTTATCATCTAGCTATGTCTAGGCATATAGTTTTAAGAACAATATATTGGGGTTTTTACGTTTCAAATCCAAAACAACATTAAGGGCTAACGATGCCTCTTGCAGCATATCAGTTAGACGCTACAGATGTCTTACTAAGGTAAAAAGTGAAGTTGATAGATGTGTTAACGATGCTTAGTTCGATCCCATTAATGTTTATTTCTGGTCCTGCTAAAATATACCTCGTCATTCAATGAGTCAATCAGTTCACTTCGGGAAGCCGTATGAGCAGTATTCTGGAATAAAGTTTTATACTTGTTCGTTTTCAGGCGGGTCAAGGTCTTCACCAGTGGCGGGAGGACCCCCTCCCCCGGGTGAGTCGGGTGGTCGGGTTCTTTGTAATGAGTAATATGCATTGAGACAATCACTACGTTTTCATGACACGTCTAAATCGATATAACGAAATTTCACGTGCGTTTTTCTCGGATACAGTATTCACCTATGAAAAAAGAGCGTATATATGGCTTTAGCTGGCACCTAATCCTATATTTACAAATAACATTTCTTAAATGATATCTAAATGATACGCCTAAGGGAGAAAAACCATTTTGCGAAATCGGCTTAACTAGAGTCATGGAAACGTAGTAATTGTCTTCATGTGAACCGCAAACGCGCATAAATGGATAATGCACGCGGTGGCTGTGAGTTGTGACTAATGAAATGTGAAGACCTCACGTAGTTAGATGTTAAAAAAAGAAGCACGGATCTAGAGCAAACAGCCTAGAAGATTCGGGAAATAATTTGTTGAAATCTGGTTTAATTATTTCAGGCGGTTCGAGATCTACCCCCATGGCGGGTGGCCCTCCCCCTGCAATGCGTAAGTGCGAGACTAGTGTCATACATGCATATGGGGTAAGTGCTGCGCTGGCTCGTACTATGTCAGCTGGCAATCAGGTTATGTGGTTATTGGTTGTACATACAGTGTACATCAAAAGTCAATGAAGCAATTGGCTGCATTTTATATTCTGCAACGTTACCTTATCTAAGGTCATATGGCATTCCGTATTCGTGCATACATTTATAGATAATCTAGTTTTAGAAAAAAGACCAAAGGCAGATACATGAGTGCAGTTCGGTATCTAAAGTATATATCTATTTGTGACGATATTTTTAGGGCACTGGCAGGATAACATTAACGTTCACGACCTTTTTATTATCTTACGTATTGTATACATGCCATATGTTTCCTTTAACTCTGAATAACTTGAGAAAAAAATCATCAAGTTGAAATAGTATTTCCATATCGCTAAATATTTCCGTGACTGAATTTCAGCCGGATCAAGGTCGACGCCTATGTCCGGTGGTCCGCCAGCACTTCCAGAAAGTGAGTCCCACTCGGATTGAATTAGAAATAAACCGCCGATAGCCCTATAGGCCAATGGGCTATTACAGCCTGGTGTATGACAGTGAAACAAGATTTACTTGATTTTATATTTATCACTGCATACAGTTCCATCATCAACGAATGTTTTCAATACATTTCCAGCCCACAGTATTTATTTGTACTGTCAGCTATGTAGATCGATTCCTTGGGTATATCCAACATCCTCGAAATGTGATTGCTCTAACGAAAGCGTCTCTTTCAGGTCCCAAGACTCCGACGGTGGGCATTGCCGACGAACCCGACTTTGTGATACCAGGTAAGCCAAGAAGGAGATGTAATCCGCGCCTGTGTTTTTAGAAGGAACATAAACTGTTCACAAAAATAATAATTTTGTCATCAGTATGTTTTACTGTTGTCTGACAATGCCTTCATGCCTAATGCCTAAAATGCATAATAACAATGCCTAATGTCTCCATGCCAAAATTGCATGTATGTAGAGATACGGGTGCAAAACAGCTGGTGGTGAGCCAACTCATTCCATTCGTGATTTCTCTTTCTCATGTCTCAATGGTCTCAATACATCTCAATATGATTCAAGGCAAAATGCAACATAAGTTTCTGTCAGCAGTAGTCTTTCGGGACTCCTTACAAGCCACTTTTCTTTTCCAGATGACATTGACCTGCCGGATCCTGACCGTAAGTAACATCGAATAACTTTTCAAGGGCAAACAGAAACACAGTGGGAGATATACCTAAAGGCCGCCCCCACACTGGACCTCGCATGCGGGTTGCGAGTTTTTGGGTTTTCGGGTTTCTTCAAAATCAAATAATACAATCTAAGCTGAGTGACCCACACTACCATCTAACAAGCGTGCCTGCACTTGCGAGCCACCTTGCATCGCATTCCAAAAGATTTTTAGTCAACTTATGATATTCCTTGCTGCGAGGTGTGCGAGTTCTGCGAGGTTTGCGGGTTTTTCGTTGGAGTCGAATTTTGGTTCGTTGCTCTGGTATTGCGACTATATGTAGTTTTCTGAAAGTGTACCGGCTTCGTTGCATTCATGAAGTTACCATGAAGGAACGGTCTAATCACTCTATGAATTAGTATTATGCCCGCAAACTCAAAACCCGCCAACTTGCAACCCGCATGCGAGGTCCAGTGTGGGTCGGCCTAGGCATTGACCTTACATCCAAAGTTCGCTTATACACACATAACGGGAGATTACTGGACATTACAACCCACACACAATGCTACACATAACGTTTTACACAAAAGTACCTATACCGGTCCGGTACCGGTAATTGGTTGAAAAGATCTCATTTTGGAACGACCTGTACTTATCGCTAGAAGTACAGTTAAGTATAGTTAAGTATTGCGCCCTGATAATCGGTTATCTCGTCACCGATATCTTTTTTTATCGAGCTGTACAGGGTGTCCCGAAATTGATGCGCGGTTGGTGCCGCATGTTATGCTATCCCTCCCGAATGCTGAACAACTGCAATTTTACCGGCTCTGGCACCACGTACATCTTGCTGGTCACACGATCACGTGAACCAAGCGGCTAACCCGACCGCGGCCGGTAGTGGGCGCGGGAGGCCACTCTTGTCCAGACAGGCAACGTGGAGAAACCGCATATCACCAAAAGTGAAAAGGCACAAACTACCGATCCGCTACCGGTGGGGATGATCAAGGACGGTGTGACCCAGGTTCCGGATGCCAGAGAATTGGGCGTCAACTCTGCGACAATTTAAACTTTGGATGGACTGCAAACGATCAGGAGAGACACTCAAGGACAGCACAGTTCGAGGGCGGAAGACTGCCTTGAGCCGAGTGGCGAAAATCGTGATTGCAAAGTCGACCTTTAAAAAGCACCATTCAACATCGCTGACAAGAAAACTGAATGAGATGCATGTCCCAGCATCCAAATCGACCCTCCACCAGTATTTGAAGACTATCTTGAAGCTGAAGCTGCTCAGCTTCAGGATGCAGACTTGGCCTACCGTGGTCCAGAAGTGCAGGCAGCTGGATTTCGCGAAGACCCACAAAAACTGGACCATTCAGGACTGGAGATGCGTCCTTTTCAGTGACAAGGTGCCCTTTGTGGTCTCTAAGCCCCTAACTGCCAGAACGATCGAAATGTGGGCCAACGGCAGCTCTGAGGAGTCCGCTGTCGAGACGGTGAAACGTCTGCTGAAGAATCTCATTTGGAGCATGATGAGCTACAGAGGCGCTCTGAGCTTCACGAGGTGCCTCGGGGACAGACCGTGACTGCTTATTACTATGTCAACGAGGTGCTGAAGAAGACTGATGCCACAAAGATGCTGCGGGAAAAGGTAACTGGTTCAAAAACCAGACTCAAACTTTTGTCGGACATGTCCAGGGCCATTTTCCAGCAAGAAAGGGCTCCAGCTTATCACGCCAGGAATACCCAGGACTGGTGCCGAGCGAGGCTCCCAGGCCTCTGGGAGAAGGGGACATGGTCTGGCAACAGTCTGGACCTGTCCCCGATCCAAATTATCTGGACGATCGTCAGAAAAGAGCTCAGCAAGCTTCCACGGGCTAGCTCAGAGAAGAGGCTGTTTCAGAAGATATAAGCGGCATGGCGTTGTTTCAAAGGAGAGACTCTTGACAACCTGAAACGTGACACGCTAGAGTGCAATAGGCCGTGTATGCAACTGAATGGGGACTATGATAACATATAAGCCGTGAAATAAATTCGAGCACTTTATAAGTTATTGAGGATAGAACAACCGCGCATCAATTTCGGGACACCCTGTACGCCCATCGTGAATGAATCACACACAAAATGTATGGCTTCATATGTATGGCTATAGTATAATATGGCTTCATAGGTACTCAAAAACTCAACAGCATGTACGTAGGCCGCTCTTACGACACATTCTGTCATTTACAGTGCCTCCTTACGACCCGAACTTCTTCTTCGACTATCCTCCTGAGCCGCTGCCCGACACATGTGAGTACTGTTCTGAGTGTCACTGTGCAGTGTGCAGTGCGCACTGTCAGCGAGGCTTTTCTCGCCTCACACTAACATTATACACTGTAAGTGTGAAATCATTCCGGACCCGAGTTGAATGGAACCGGCGATGCTACGGACTACAGAGTCATGAAAGCCGTAGTCATATATGTAGCATACATCAACGGTCAAATGATAGATGGCAACTGTCCGAAATTTACGACTATATTGTTAGGAATTTGGAAACGTTTCCAATTTCTTGTGAGATTTTAGAGGGAGGAAACCCTTGTACGTAGAAAACATATTATTATCCTTATCACTATTCGTAACTATGTGGCACTTGATTTCGATAAGTCTGAAATGTCGATTACAATAAAAGTGCCCACACAAAGCGTTAGAACGTCTAAAAACAAACGTCATCATCCCAACTTCGCTAAAGGAATTGGCATCCACAAGCAAAGCATTTCGCTACCATGCATTTACCTGCTCTTTTACCCCGTTTTCCGGTGTATGTTTGTTTCAGATTTGTTTGACCTGATCCTGCCGCCTGAGCAGCCAGACTGGCCCCCGCCGAGCCCGCCCGACCAGGAGCCGGACATCTACATTGTGTACCTGCCGTACTTGGAGAACCCTACCCCGACGCCCACGGTAAGGATGGATGGGGCGTGGTGTCCGAGCTTAGCCGCTGCCTGACCTGGCTGTCCAGTAAAAGGCGCGATGGATCTTTACGAATTTCATACCGCCGCTGAGGCAACGCCCGAAATATTTTCCAGTTTTAACGAATACATTTCCCGAGCTTCTGCACCCTAATTCGTAAATTTCGCCTTACATTGTTCAACGTTCACACTCTTGATCTCTGTAACTCGTCGTAACCTCTAACCATAGGATATCACCTTCTTCGTGGACCCGCCGATCTACGAGTTCGACATGCCGGCCGTGCACTGGGAGTACCCGGACCCGGTGAACTGGTGGCCGGACCCGCTGCTGCTGCAGCCCGAGCCCCTCGACTGGATCTGGCCGCTGGACCCCTCCTGGGACACCTACTGGCCCAGCCTGGACAGCTTCTTCCCAAGCATGATGACAGAACCGTCCGTCATCTATTCGTACTTCTGAATGCCGTCCTGCGAGGCGAGACTGGTGCGTTTAAAGTGCCTTTAGGTACTACGCGCAAGAGGATTGGCACCTTGCAGTGTACAGGGTGGTATGTAGTTTGTAGGTATGTGTTTTTGTTGGGGTCTCCTCGCACGTTATTTTCAAGGTGTGTCGCACTGAGTGAATCGCATCACACGCAACCGACGAAGAGCACTTTAAATGTGACCAATATATTTATTGAAACAAAGGTTCGCCGAGGCACGTTATGTGGCTTGTTCTAAAAAAAAAGAACCAATAATTTGGTGAATACACCCAGGAGTAGGGACGACGTCAGCACTGTAGTGAAAAGAGGACGGCAAGAAGTGTTCAAAAACCCAAAAGCTCCATCAGCGTGAGAAGTGTTGAAGTTTGTCATTTTGTGACTGCGCCTGGCTGGCAGCGCTGTACTGCATGGTCATGTGTTCGACTTTGAAGTTTATGCCATTTACCAACAAAAAAGCAAGGGAATTGAAGCATTGGTGCACGATTGTCTTTAGACTGTCTACATTTAGACATTGCAGATCGGTGCTGTAAATATAATTACTATGTACTTGTGGTGTTTGCTGATCTTAACCATCGCATGTGTAGGGGGGGGGGGTCGGATGGACCCCCCATGGTTTTTCGCGAATAACTCGCGTAAAAATCGGCCGATCGCGACGAAACTTTCAGTACCCTCGCATCGCTCAATTTTACACCTACCCTGAAAATTTCATGACCCTGACTCAAATGACCTTTGACCTGTGACCTCTTTTCCGGGACCATGTTTGCCCGGAATCGCGATTCCGCGTATGTCGGCTCGCATTAGCCGCGCGTTTGCAAGCTTTTCGTGGTTTCAAACGTTCAAACATGTGATTTGATGTTGCTCTCATGCATTAAGGTGGGTGTCAAGGTCACCTGAAGGTCAGGTCAGGTCATTGACCTTTGGTGACCTCGGGTGACCTCGGTTCACTTTTTCGAGTTTTACATGTTTCTAGGCTAGTTTTTGGAGCTGAATTAGAATCTAGCAACCATTTGAACATTTACGAAGTAGTTTTGGTGCCTTCGTAACATGTTACGAAGCTGTCAGAGGCGGTTGATCCGTACTACGAATACCCGTCACGACGCCTACTGGTTGACCTGACCTGACCTGACCCGACCTGGTCTAAATGCTTAAAGAAATCATCTGTGATCAAAACGAACACGATATTCGTGATCAGCACCCCGAAAAAACCCTTAACAGCCACACTTTACGACTTTCTAATAGGTCCCGATTTTCCCGACTTTGGGGCATTGACCTGACCTGGAAGGTCAACGAATGACCTAGGACCTTAAAATTGGGTATCATCGGCTTCCTCTCATCACGGGCAACACGCTCGTTTTTTCCGCGAAGCTCTAGCTCGATCAGGGGCCAAACGGCAAGGGGGGGTCCAACCGACCCCCCCCCCCCCCCCTACACATTAGAAGCTGGAAAACGCCGCACACATGCGAGGGTTAATATCTTATCTATTCGACGCCGCGCATTATCTGGGGTGTCCAGTTCCATATTTATCCTGATTGAAGGTGACTTAAAAATATAGGGTTCATGGTAACAGATCCAAGTAGAGCTTGTTTCGGTTCAAAAAGGCCGTAGTCGTAGTCACTAACATTCCTGTAACGTGTTCGTCTTTTTGTGACGTCATCGCGTGAATTGTGCCCTTTTGCTGAGGAAATCTCTTTAATAACTACCTATATGCTTCGGGATATTTCGTAAGATTCAGGATCAGTGTAACGAAAAATATAATCTCAGTGTCTAAACTATGTAATAGATGCAATTTTTAGTCCCGAAATAGTTCACACCATGGCGTCAGCATTCCCTCGTGACGCCACCTGTTATTTATCGCCTGGGGTTGAACGAAGAGATTCTCCATTTGCCCAAAATAATATCACAAAACTTGGTTAACTTACAAAAATTACATATATTACGGAAGCCATTTATCTATCACGATGCAGCAGTCAGTTCTAATAGCCATCGACAATTCGATCAAATGACGCAGATCAGCACATTCAGTCAGAAGTCCGTGTCCGGGTCAATGCTACAGGCGAGCCCGACTCCGCACCAGTCTCCGCCCCAGGCTCAGTGGCCTCTATCCCAGTTTCTGTACCAACATTTACCCCGGTCTCTTTCCCAGCCTTTTCCCCACCTTCCGTACCGCGTGTCGTCTCAGCCGCCGCGTCTGCCTTCTTTACCTCTCGGCTCTCGGGCCCTTTAGCCGCGCCGGAGTCGCTATACCGCTCCCCGAGTAGCTCCATAAGCCTACCGGTCAGCCGGTCCAGGCTGGCGGGGGTCGTCTGGAACGGCTGCAGCGCGCGGCTGAAGGCGACATCGGCGTCCCTGGCCAGCGCCGCCAGGTCGGGGTGCAGCTGCAGCAGACTGGTGGCACGCCGGGAGGGGGGGGGGGGCGGTCATTAGATGGAGCGCGGTAGGGTGCAGCGGTCCGAGCAACGACACAAAACATATGACAGAACATACAGGATAAGAAACATGACAAAACAAGCCACAAATACTCCAATTTGTTAGTCTCGTTTTCACGTGAAGTACGACAGGCTTATCTTCATCAACACTGACATGAAGTATGATGCTACTTTCTAAAATGCCAAAGCCTCTAAGAGCCAATGACGTAACGGCAGCACGTACCAGTTGAGCAGGACGACGGCGGCGAGGGTCCACTGGCTAGGCGTCATTGTGACGTTGGTGGCCGTCAGGCGGAAACTGGCCACCAGGAGACGCAGCGGTAACGTGACGTCAGACATCAGCAGCCCCAGCGGCGGCAGCAGCCGGGCCGTGCTGCGACACAAAGATATAGCTGAGGTGACACATGCAAATAAACGGCACCATTTGGCGCAGCACGAATATTTTAGCTGGGCTAAAAATATGACACATGATTAACAAAATGAAAAAGAGCAAAGGAAATTAGCACAGCGGTCTTAAGTAAGAGTTGTGCCTGGAAAATAAAACTAATTCAACTCACAACTGTTTCAAACGCATGTGAATTCCCCCTCTCCAGACCGAGAAGATACAGTCATTTGCAAAGTCTGAAACGTCGCTAACTCAAAGCAATACAATCATCTGAACAGCCTTTCCAAGCGCCGACCCATCACCCACAACTCACGCCTTGCCGAGGTGGTCGTTGACGATCCGTCGCCGCTGCTTATCCTGAGACTCGAGCAGCGGCTCGGGCGGCACCGGGCGGCCATCCTCCGTCACCTGGGCGGGGGCGACCGGCCGGGGCGGCACCGCCGCCGGGACGCGCACCTGGCCCTGCAGGTAGGCGAGCAGCGCCCGGTTCCGCGCCGCCGCCTCCTCCGGGCTGAGCACAGGAGCGAGTGGAACGGGGGTGTCTGGGGTGCCACCAGACGGGCTTTCATAGCCTGTAGAGCCTTCGGCAGCGGCTGACGGGATATTCACCCGCAGTGGATCAGCGAGCGGTGCAGCGGCGGCGACCGGAGTCCGGTCCGAGAGCCAGTCGAGCAGACGAGCCTCCACCACCTTCAGAGGATGCTGTTGCCGCCGCGCAGCGCGCACCGGACGCTTGAAACCGGATGTCTGTGAGACGGCGGGGACGGCCGGGGGCGTCGGGGGCGCTGGCGTTGATCGTGCCGTTTGTTCAGGGGCGGAAGGCAGCACGGACGGATTGTCGGCAGGATCTTGTCGACACGAAGCTTCATCGAGAGATGTAGCTCTGTCGGCTCTGTCATCGTTCTCCATTTTCTGAGGACATGTAACTTCTTCTGATACACACTTTTTCGGCTCTTCCTCCTTCATCGGCTTGTCATCCCTCCTTTCATCAGCTGAATTATTATTCGCCTGTACCCGACACACTCTCTCTATCTCATCTCCCTCGCTCCCTTCTGCCTTCGCACTCTCCTCAAACTGCACTGCCTTTCTCTCCGCCCTCCCTCCTTCACTCTCTGCTCCTGAGGGCCGCCTCAGACAAGATCGCCGCTGCTTCCTGGCTCCGCGTTCCTCCGGCTTCCCCCGCTCCTCCTCCGGTTTCAGGCCGAGGTCTCTGATCTGTTCAGACAGCTCGTCAAACTGATGCATCATGCTTGTTGCCACCTCATTGGTAGTTATCTCAGACGGAGGTGACTCGTCGGCCGGCGCACGTGCCACGCCCAGTTCCACAACGTCACCGGCCACACCCTTTCTGTCGGTCAGGGACATGGAAAAGTGTCGGAAAGATGGCAAAAGGCGAAACGATATGTGAAAGAAGCGAAACATCATCAACCGATATTCGACAGCAATGATAAAGCCATGCAAGTGATCATCATTTTTTTGTTTGGTATTATCTAGTCTATGTACCACGTCCTTACATGGCTAATTGATTCCGCACTAGAATGACAGCCCCCTCCCCCCCCCCCCCCCCACTCACTCATTGTTTTCCTTTTGGAGCAGTCTGAAGACGGGCGGCGGCTCCTTGTCCCGGAGCCAGAGGGGGCTGGTCTGAATTTGAGGCTTCAGATGTCGTGAAGCGCGGAAACATGCATTACTGCAGTATTTCTGAAAAACCAGCAAACATAAATATGCTAAATGACCGGATGAAACATGGGCACAAGCCGGTAACGTAGGTACACAAAACCGATCTGACCATACTTGACATACATATATGAAAGGTTACAACTAGCTGTCATTGATTGATTAGCAAACCCAAAGTATCTACCGAACACATGATCTACGTGATTATTGAAAACTAGAGGCATGAACACTGACCGAACGCAAACACTAGATTAAAAACCAGTGTCAGGCGGCCCACAGACCTTCCTCTCTGACATGTCGTAGATGCGGTTGGTAATTGTGGAAATGTGGAACTGGTGCTCGGCCACCCGGCCTAGCCGGTTAGCGCAGAGCGGGTAGCCGCAGCAGCCGGTGCAGGAGCGCTCCTCTATGACGTCATCATAGTGCTGCTGGTCAATAAACTGCAGCTGAAACCAGAAGCGATGTCTCAGTAATGTGCACTGCCCTTAGCCTCAACACCAGAACAGACCTCGCAGAAATGTAGGCAATGATAAAAGGAATAGAGGCAAGTATCTTATATAAAATGGCAGAACACATGGGACATTTTGCAACAAAAGTTATCATCATGCAAGAGCTATAGTTTTCATGACAGTGCCCCACCTGATGAAGAAGCCATACAGGGTTGATGACTGGCTCAATAAGCAGCTCTACAATATGAAGAGCTCGCTGGTCGCAAAAACGCTTCTTTTCAGCGGCAGCAAGAATGTCTTTCTGCCTGAAAAGAGGATTAGGTGAAATGTTTGTAGCTGATGTCAATTTTCAGAATAAATTGACATGCAGGATGCTCATAACATGAGAGAAATAATAAGAATAAATGCTACATGTGCATATAGATAACAAAAGTGAAACTAGCTTGGATGCAAATGAAAATAATTGAATGTCGCATGCAAAAAAGAGCACCAAATAATTGCATTAAGAAACTGCTCATCATTAATAACTTGAACTCACCTTTTTGTTAGCTTGGGAAGCTGGTGGGCCTCCATAATGGATCCCAAAATGCAAAAATTAACCTGAAATTCAGCCCCGTGCGCCACCAGACCCTTGTGACCGGTGAAGTGTCGGATTTGTGTCCATAAGGTGGGTGAAGGCACGTGATCGCCTGAGGCGGTGGGGGGTAAAAATATTTTCGTCATTTAAAGGGACCCTTCCACCTTAACATTAGATTTGAGTTGAGATAGCCAAAACGGGGTCCCTGGCTCACAATTACCGGTTTCGGCACTCACAACATCGAGAAATGCCTTAAATCGGAAATATTGAATTTCAACATTGCAGCATTTTGATTCAGAGGGGCTAATGCATAAGAATACCCCTCTGAATGTGTGACGTCAGCGCAGATATCTAACGATTTTTAAATGTTTGACTAAAACGTTTTGTATCACGCGGTGGTATATGCTGCTTTGCGCGCAACAAGTTCCGGCCCGCACTTTCAGCTGCCAAACTATTGCTTCCTAATAAAGTCGCTAGGAACAGCGGAGATCCCAAAAAGTAAACAAAAGTAAAAGTCTAATATCTTGAAAACCGGTGAATATTTTTCGGTGAAATTTGGTAGATATTCATTTTCGCTCTTTCTGAACCGAGCGACATCACTTTCATGCCAATTCATAAACTTTTTTGAAGGTGGGAGGGTCCCTTTAATGCTCAATGCAATCGCTGCGAATTTTTACAAGACCTTCTCCTTGTCGTTGTTCCTTGCTTTCAACGACTGGTCCCCGAGTAATGACTATCCTCACGCAAGATAGGATGGATGGAGCTAGCAATTAAGCCCAAAAAACATATCGAAAATGTTATAAAACACTTCTTTTGAAGGAGATGAATTGAATGGTTTTGGGGCCTCACGAAACATGTCTCAGATATGACGCGTCAACGCGTATATTCGAATCAAGATTCGAATCCAGTATGAGTAGAGCACGGACGTATAAATAAACTGGACTGACGATCCCAATGGACCTCCTATGGAAGATAGTGAAGCCGACAAGGCGCCATTTTACGTTGCCAAAAACCCGTGCTCTGAGGGAGTGTCTAAAAAGCAGACGAGATTAGCAGACGAGCCCATGCTCAGTAACTACTGGACCGATTTTGATAATTCTTTCACCATTCAATAGCAGGGAACTTATATAGGTGCCGTTTTTCGTTTTTTGGCGATTGGTTCACTCTGACTGGACCAATCGGACCAAAATGGTCCAGAACCATACACCCCCTTAAAAGCAGACGAGCCCATGCTCCGAAACTACTGGACCGATTTCGATGAAACCTTCACCATTAGACGCGCCGTGGTCTGAAACGGTGCCGTTTTTGATAATTTTTTGATTGGTCCACCCTAAGTGGTCCAAATCGGTCCAAAACCCCTAAAATCTGTTGCAGACGAGCCCATGCTCCGAAACTATTGGACCGATTTCGATGAAACCTTCACCATTAGACGCGCCGTGGTCTGAAACGGTGCCGTTTTTGATAATTTTTTGATTGGTCCACCCTAAGTGGTCCAAATCGGTCCAAAACCCCTAAAATCTGTTGCAGACGAGCCCATGCTCCGAAACTACTGGACCGATTTCGATGAAACCTTCACCATTAGACGCGCCGTGGTGTGAAACGGTGCCGTTTTGGATAATTTTTTGATTGGTCCACCCTTAGTGGTCCAAATCGGTCCAAAACCGCTAAAATCTGTTGCAGACGAGCCCATGCTCCGAAACTACTGGACCGATTTCGATGAAACCTTCACCATTAGACGCGCCGTGGTGTGAAACGGTGCCGTTTTGGATAATTTTTTGATTGGTCCACCCTTAGTGGTCCAAATCGGTCCAAAACCGCTAAAATCTGTTGCAGACGAGCCCATGCTCCGAAACTACTGGACCGATTTAGATGAAACCTTCACCATTAGACGCGCCGTGGTCTGAAACGGTGCCGTTTATGATAATTTTTTGATTGGTCCACCCTGAGTGGTCCAAATCGGTCCAAAACCCCTAAAATATGTTGCAGACGAGCCCATGCTCCGAAACTACTGGGCCGATTTCGATGAAACCTTCACCATTCGACGCACCGTGGTGTAAAACGGTGCCGTTTTTGATAATTTTTTGATTGGTCCACCCTAAGTGGTCCAAATCGGTCCAAAACCGCTAAGATCTGTTGCAGACGAGCCCATGCTCCGAAACTACTGGGCCGATTTCGATGAAACCTTCACCATTCGACGCACCGTGGTGTAAAACGGTGCCGTTTTCGATAATTTTTTATTGGTTCACCCTAAGTGGTCCAAATCGGTCCAAAACCGCTAAGATCTGTTGAAGACGAGCCCATGCTCCGAAACTACTGGGCCGATTTCGATGAAGCCTTCACCATTCGACGCACCGTGGTGTAAAACGGTGCCGTTTTCGATAATTTTTTATTGGTTCACCCTAAGTGGTCCAAATCGGTCCAAAACCGCTAAGATCTGTTGCAGACGAGCCCATGCTCCGAAACTACTGGGCCGATTTCGATGAAACCTTCACCATTCGACGCACCGTGGTGTAAAACGGTGCCGCTTTTGGATAATTTTTTATTGGTTCACCCTAAGTGGTCCAAATCGGTCCAAAACCCCTAAAAACTGTTGCACACGAGCCCATGTTCCGAAACTACTGGACCGATTTGGATGAAACCTTCACCATTCGACGCGCTGTGGTCTGTAACGGTGCCGCTTTTGGATAATTTTTTGATTGGTCCACCCTAAGTGGTCTAAATCGGTTCAAGTACAGCCCAAAAATACGTTTTCATGTAGTCAACCGATGAGCTGGTTTCCGCAGCGCGGAGGTGCCCCAGGCCCAATTAGCATGCATTTTTGCTCTAGTTTGGAAAGCAAAATGCATGACAATGGGTTTGGGGCACCTCTGTGCTGCAGAAATCTATCCGGACTCTGACAAAGTACAAACGGGTTTTAGGCATTTTGGACCGATTTCGACCACTTAGGGTGGACCAATCAAAAAATTATTTTAAAAGGCACCGTTTCAGACCACGGCGCGTCTAATGGTGAAGGTTTCATCGAAATTGGTCCAGTAGTTTCGGAGCATGGGCTCGTCTGCAACAGATTTTAGGGGTTTTGGACCGATTTGGACCACTTAGGGTGGACCAATCAAAAAATTATCAAAAACGGCACCGTTTCAGACCACGGCGCGTCTAATGGTGAAGGTTTCATCGAAATCGGTCCAGTAGTTTCGGAGCATGGGCTCGTCTGCAACAGATTTTAGGGGTTTTGGACCGATTTGGACCACTTAGGGTGGACCAATCGAAAAATTATCAAAAACGGCACCGTTTCAGACCACGGCGCGTCTAATAGTGAAGGTTTCATCGAAATCGGTCCAGTAGTTTCGGAGCATGGGCTCGTCTGCAACAGATTTTATTGGTTTTGGACCAATTTGGACCACTAAGGGTGGACCAATCAAAAAATTATCATAAACGGCACCGTTTCAGACCACGGCGCGTCTAATGGTGAAGGTTTCATCGAAATCGGTCCAGTAGTTTCGGAGCATGGGCTCGTCTGCAACAGATTTTAGGGGTTTTGGACCGATTTGGACCACTTAGGGTGGACCAATCAAAAAATTATCAAAAACGGCACCGTTTCAGACCACGGCGCGTCTAATGGTGAAGGTTTCATCGAAATCGGTCCAGTAGTTTCGGAGCATGGGCTCGTCTGCAACAGATTTTAGCGGTTTTGGACCGATTTGGACCACTAAGGGTGGACCAATCAAAAAATTATCCAAAACGGCACCGTTTCACACCACGGCGCGTCTAATGGTGAAGGTTTCATCGAAATCGGTCCAGTAGTTTCGGAGCATGGGCTCGTCTGCAACAGATTTTAGGGGTTTTGGACCGATTTGGACCACTTAGGGTGGACCAATCAAAAAATTATCAAAAACGGCACCGTTTCAGACCACGGCGCGTCTAATGGTGAAGGTTTCATCGAAATCGGTCCAATAGTTTCGGAGCATGGGCTCGTCTGCAACAGATTTTAGGGGTTTTGGACCGATTTGGACCACTTAGGGTGGACCAATCAAAAAATTATCAAAAACGGCACCGTTTCAGACCACGGCGCGTCTAATGGTGAAGGTTTCATCGAAATCGGTCCAGTAGTTTCGGAGCATGGGCTCGTCTGCTTTTAAGGGGGTGTATGGTTCTGGACCATTTTGGTCCGATTGGTCCAGTCAGAGTGAACCAATCGCCAAAAAACGAAAAACGGCACCTATATAAGTTCCCTGCTATTGAATGGTGAAAGAATTATCAAAATCGGTCCAGTAGTTACTGAGCATGGGCTCGTCTGCTAATCTCGTCTGCTTTTTAGACACTCCCTGCTCTGAAAGGTCATCGAACCATTACAATTGGAATTGCGTCTAAACGGATGATCGGATCGAGATGCTGGTGGTACCGTTCGATGGGTAATGCTTTGAGGCAGGTGATGATGCATGACACAGGTCATTCGGTGTCACGTGGCGCGTGCCACGTGCCGACAAAGTCGGGAAGGGCAAAAAGTCTCCGACGCTCCAAATTAAACGGTGGACGGCACAGGTGCCAAATTCACAGGTCACATGTCCCGGTGTTTGACCATTACCATATGGTATGCTCGGCAGCAGGGGGTGCGGAATGCACGCGCCAGGGGCGAAAAACATGTTTTGAGGATGCATCCTCCGATTCCGGAAAACCTTGACCTAGGCACACCAAATTTGGCACACTGACACTACTGGACGAGCGCTTTAAGGCGCTGTGCAAATAGATGTGCTGGGGTACACGGTGCACGTGCTGTGCACGTGCAAACCTTTTGATGTTGCACTCTGTGTCACATATACGGGCAGAGCGGGTAGCGCGAGCAGGCTTAAAGTGCCAAATTTACACAGGCCACCCAGAATGCATTCCAGCATAGTTATTGAGCATATCTATCTCCTGGTGGACCCCAAAGGTGCGCTCTGCACGTGCAAAAAATTATCCGCGCCGGGCGGTGGGGATGCTTGGACGGCTTGGACACCCCATGTAGGTTTATGTAAATATCTCGAAAACGGCGTTGTGGAGCTCCACCGTTTTTAGCACACCCTTTCATGAATCTTTTTCACACATGCTGCATAACTTTCAGACCCAGGTCACTCAAGGTTAGGTCACCAGGTTACGTCCAAGTGGCCTTACCTTAGGAAAAGTTATAATGCCCGTCATAGCTACACAGACTGAACAATCGGTCTAAAACGTTGGCCTATGGTCGATGGTCGATAGTCGATGGTCGATGGCCACCTATGGTCGATGATGACGACAACAAAAACGTTCGTCGGTCCCCCTGGTCCGCTCACCATTTAGGTGCTGATCCATTTGAAAATGGGAGATGATATCACTTTTGCCTACTCCAGTAGGTACCCATCACCCTCACGTGAGGCAAAGGACACAAAACATAGACGAGCGGTGTCGCCTGAAGTTCGTTATGTGCTGGTAATAGCTTGTAAGTACCACAGTTTGATAAACAAATCACCAATTATCTCAAAGCAAGAATTGAGAGTAACCGCAGATTGATACGGTCTTTAACACGCGCAGTGGAACGGTTGCGAGTACTACGCCCAATGGAAGGGGGGGGGGGCGGATGTCGCCCCCCCCTAAGATCTCAGCTCCCACTGGAGCTAGAAAGACGAAATTTTGAGGGTAGGTGGGGGCCATGGGGAACTCTGTTGTGTGTGAATTTCATGACCCTAGGTCAATATCTTCAAGGTCAAATGAGGTCAAATGTGGTCAAATCTGCCATATTAGCGACTTTTTTGCGTTTACACGCCGATAACTCAAAAAGTTTCCGGCCGATTTTTTTAAATCTTTCACTATACGAAAGAACAAACATTTGTGAGTATGTATGGTGAATTTCTAGATAATCCAACAATAAATATGGCAGTTAGAAGCCTGCGAAGGGTAAGATGTCGCCGGCTGAGGCGGCATCGGCCGACGC